CTGGAATCAGTCTTCTCGCGCATGCTACATCGAATGGGGCAAGTGCTACCTGAGGCAGCTACGGTCTTCATAAACTCCTTTGAAGAACTCGACCCTGTTATGACAAATGATTTCAAATCCAAGTTCAAGCAATACCTAAATGTTGGACCTTCCATTTTTGCAACACCACCACCATCTGTTCCAGATTCACATGGTTGCCTGACATGGCTTGACAAGCAAAAACCTGCAACCGTGGCGTATATCAGCTTCGGCTCGGTCGCAACCCCACCTCCAAATGAACTTGTAGCACTGGCAGAAGCATTAGAAGCTAGCAGGGTTCCTTTCATATGGTCTTTAACAGACAAATCGAAGGTTAATTTGCCTAATGGGTTCTTAGACAGGGCCGATGGTATATTGGTGCCATGGGCTCCCCAAATTGATGTGCTAGCTCATGGTGCTGTTGGGGTGTTCATAAGCCATGGTGGTTATAACTCCTTGCACGAGAGCATAGCAGGTGGGGTGCCTATGATTGTCAGGCCCTTTTTTGGGGATCATAGGCTGAATGGAAGAATGGTAGAAGATGTTTGGGAGATTGGTGTGATTGTTAAGAGTGGAATTTTCACAAAGAATGGACTAATGAGTAGTTTGGATCTAGTTTTGGCACAAGAAAAGGGGAAGAAAATGAGGGAAACTTTGAGGGAAATTAAAGAAGTTGCACAAAGAGCAGTTGGACCAAAAGGGAGCTCCACCCAAAATTTCAAGGCACTATTGGATTTAGTATCTGGACAAAATCATGCCTAAAATATATGCTTGGAATTGTAAGGTTTATTAGTGCCTTGCTTTGTGGTAAATTTTGCAGTAAAGTCATCATTGTAAGGTCAATTAATAAAGATCATCAGATCTATAAAATTAAATTACAGTCTTTGATTTAAAATTTATAAAGAAACTGATAAACCAATTCAACTCCTAAACAAAAAATTCTCTTTTTGATAGACTCTTTTTATGCCTTATTAATAAAAATCATTTATTTGCATTTCTTTTATTATTAGTTGAAATTTCATATTATAAATAGCATTATCATTATAACAAATTAAAAAGTCAAAATTAAAAATATATAATAATAAAAATAAAAACATATGCAATTTAAAATTGTCATTAAAAAACCTGAATATAAAGTTTTTAAAAGTTATGATTCAAAATTCTTAACATAAATCAATAAGAATTAACATAAAACTTGTAAAGGTAAAATAACTAAATTTAAAATCTTAACATAAATGAGTAAAAGTTAATGTAACAAGTCAATTAAAAAAATTTAATTTTAATAAAAAATAAATATTTAAACTTATATTCTGAAACTAAAATTGTCTAACAATATATAAATTTTAATTTTTAAATAATAATAATAATTATTATTATTATTATATTTCAAAATTAACATAAATAAGCCTTGACATAAAACTATAAAATTGATATAAAAACTTATAAAAGTAAAATAACTAAATTTTAAATCATAACGTAAATGTGTGAAAGTTAACATAATAAGTCAATTAAGTAAACAACTATAATTTTAGTAAAAAATAAACATTTATATTTATATTTTGGATTAAAAGTGTTTAATAATATATGAATTTTAATTTTTAAATAAAGAATAATAAAGATCAAAATAATTTTAGTTCAAAATTAATATAGAAAAACCTTCACGTTAAACTATGAGAATTGACGTAAAAACTTATAAAGGTGAAATAACTAAATTTTAAATCTTAACGTAAACGTGTGAAAGTTAACGTAACAAGTCAATTAAGTAAAAAAAATCTAATTTTAGTGAAAAATAAATATTTAAATTTATATTCTCGAACTAAAAGTGTTTAACAATAAACAAATTTTAATTTTTAAGTTTTGAAGTAAAACTGCAACAATTGACGTAAAAACTTATAAAGATGAAATAATTAAATTTTAAATCTTAACGTAAATGTGTGAGAGTTAACGTAATAAGTCAATTAAGTAAAAAAAATCTAATTTTAATGAAAAAATATTTAAATTTATATTTTCAAGTTAAAAGTGGTTAACGATATATAAATTTTAATTTTTAAATAAAAAATAATAAAAAAAATTATAGTTCAATATTGGCATAAATAAGCCTTGACTTAAAAATATAAAAATTAACGTACAAACTTATAAATGTGAAATAACTAAATTTTAAATCTTAATGTAAATATTTGAAAGTTAACGTAATA